GTGCTTGAGGACGACATGCCGTCGTCAGAGAATGTGTCGCACTCATTTTCATGGCGACTTTGGTTTGAACCGTCTGATTCAGCATCCCGTAGAGAGCGATCAAGTCTGAATAGCTTCACTGTAAGCTATGGTGTTGTGGATGACTTTTGTGTCCAACTCATGAAAGGCTTTGTCTAGGCGATCTCGTACATCTTGAAATGTCGTTGTTGAGGTATAGGCACGTCCCACCGATCCCTTGACGTTTGCCCACACCATCTCGATAGGCTGCAGCTCAGAAAACCCGGGGGCCGAGTAGACAACACGATGCCCCCGAGTCTTGGCCATTTCGACAACAACAGGAAGGACGTGTTCGTCCAAGTGCTTCTTCAGCGCCTTCCATATCGTTGTCTTCAGGTCCGTAATCGAAACTTCAAGGATGCCGTGGCTAACACAAGCGTCGTAGAGGTCTACCTTCTTCCACGAACCTTTCGGCGTCGTCTGGGGCTTGCCTTTGTGGTACATGGCGTTGTCCATCACAAACACTGCGCTTGCCCACCCAAGTTTTTCAACTTCATCCATGAGCTTGCCAAACCAATCAACGAAATAGTCGTGGTTGAACATAGCATGGTAGTCCTTCACAGTCCTACCATTCTTCGTCCCACCGACAAAAATCTCTAGCCCCAGGAGATGTGCGGCGTCCGATCCGTCGTCAAGATTGCCCGCGATGAAACAGTACCTGCGTCCCTTGTGCTTGGGCTTTGTCGTCTTGCTATCGGGATAGTAGAGACTGTCGGCATGATGTGCGTAGTGGTGATGAATGAAACTTTCATCCAAGTACACAACAGGCCGACGAGGAGACATACACACGTTAGGTACCATCATGCTGACGTATTGGTCTCGTGCGTCTTGGTGTTCCTTGCTCATGCTGTACTCAGTCTCGCCAACACGCTTCCCTCGAGCGTAACCCTGCTTTGCAAGAAAAGCCTGCACACCTCGAAGGCACGACGAATAGCTCTTGTGGCAGATGGATCAATCACCAGAACATGATGCTCAAGCAAGAGAGCCAAGACATCTTTTGCCACAGTTCGGTTACGTGCAACGCTGCGGTCACGGATGAAGGTTCTCACAAGTATTGGAACCGCGCGACGATTTGGCGCGATGGTATGGTGGTTGGATGTGTTCGACGGGGGATCTGCAACGATAACTCGCCAGCTTGGGTAAACTCTGCAAGAACCCCTTGCACGGTCGTTTTCGCCCGACCAAGGAGTTGTGCAATGGTCCCAGTGACATCAGTATGACCAGTTCCGCGTAGCGTTGCTTGCATCCAAAGTATGTCCAACTTTTCGTCGTAGTTCAAGCTGCGCCTGCGGCGCAGCTTGACGAACAATTTTATCCGAGCCAAGGTGGAAGGGTCCATTAGGTTGGAAAAATCACGTTTGCCGCCATAAGTTCGTCAGGGCCTTGAAACTGGTGGGAAACGATCCGCCCAATCAAGGCGTTCATTTTGGCAGTTATTTCATCGAAATTGGTCAAGAAATGAAGGAAATAGATCGAATTGAGTGAATTTTGGTATATTTTGTGCATTTATTTTGATGGATAACGATGAAGATGAAATATAGAAATAGAAGGGTTTCTCCAGTTCGTGATATATTTTTTCTTCAAACTTTCCAACAGCACCTATTCATTCGTTGTTACAAGTAATTGAACAGAGGTATATGGGCAAAAAATTGGTCAAATTTCACAAGGTTTGGTGCATTCTACTCGTCAAACCTTCTAGAATTCAGTAATTTTGTAAACAGCATCTGAAACGAAATGAATTC